CTAAAATTATGCAATATTGTGTTGTTTATTTGATAATTGCTGTTGGTAATGTTGTTTATGTTGATTATTTTCATTAATATCAAAATAGCCCCAGATTAATCTGTTAGTTGCTTTGCTCATTGTTGCTTTATCTCTAATTTAATTTTATCTCTAAGTATAAATTTATGTTAAGAAAAAAAAGTTTTTGTTTCATCGCTCACTCTTTTTATAAAAGAGTAGAACAAAAGAGAAAAAAAAGTTTTGCGTAATTAAACTTCGAATGAATAAGAATTGTATAGAATTTTTTTTTTTTTTTGCGTCACTCGTTCTTTTTTTAGATGAGAAAAATAAAATTTTAATAGTAACTTTTCTTTGAATAAATGAAAATCGGAAAAGAAAGTTGCTTGAAAATTTGTATTTGTTGTGTTTTAAAATTTTTTTAATTTTTCATGTTAAGAGGCAAATCCCAAATACTACACAAATTGGGAAATATTATATGTTTCTAACTCGCGTTAAGACATTTTGACAATTTAAATTACCATTTATCTTGAATTATTGCCATTAATTAATGTGTTAATTATTGTGTTAAATAATAATTTATTATTATTTAACACAATAATTAATTTTATACAAATAATAAAAAATATTAGTTGTATAAAACGGGCGAAATTATACAATCTTCATGTTTTTTATTTGATGGTTATAAAATATTGAACAATAAACTTGTAATCAAAATTTATAATGCCTACTTGTGTTGCTATTAATTGTACTTTTAATGCAAAACCAGGATCCCCCTTATCCTTTCACAAATTTTCATATCTGATACTATAGTAAACTGTATTCTTGTACTTTTTTTTCATAACCTTAACAGGTTCTAATTGGTATGGAGTTGCTTACATTTTAAAAGTTTTATTATCAAAAATCAAATGTAAAATAAAATGATATTTCCTTTTTATCCGTATCCAATACAGCAAATTTAGCAATTTAAAATAAATCAGCGTAATCAAAAAATTTTTATAATAAAAAAAGTTAACAACTCATCAAATATCTCTAATTAATACTGTCAGTTTATGAAAGTAATTGTTAATAAATACTTTTTTTTCAACAGGAAAACATAAATAACAAAAATAACCAGAAGTTAGAAAAAAGTTCCCATTGTTTAAATAAAAATAATAAAGATTCAGAATATATAATACTGCGCTCTCTTGCACAAAAACGAGAGACCGTATACATAACGTTCTATATAATGTAAAACACTCATATGAAAATCATAAGATTTGTAAGTAAAGCTTTAATATTTGTTTTAATATAAAAACAATAGAATAATAAGTAAGATATGTAAATCAAAAAATTATTAAGATATCGGTAAAAAAAAGTTCCTCCTATGAAATAAAAAGTTTTTATTATTTTTGATTTTTACAAAAATTTGTTGTAAAAGTTGTTTTGCTGTATGTTAAAAAGTTACTACATTGTACTTTTTGAATTAAAGTAAATAAACACAGCTTTGTTTAATTAGACTTTTCTTTTGTTAAAAATCTACCGTGACATCAAATGCTAAAACTTTTATGAATTAAACGCGCTTCAAAGGAATCGCCAAAGTCTGTAGATTGCAACATATAATTTAGACTCCGAGTTATTGAAAAAAATGGAGAAGGCGAGCTTCGGCTAAAACAACAACATTAATTTTACTTGGTATGCATTCAGTATTTATTTTTAATCAAAAAAACTTGGTTTAAACCTTTTTTTTAACATTATCTTTAATATGAACACAACATGTGTTGGGAGCTTGGGATCCCATTAAATTATTAAAAAAATTAACCACCACCACAAATACAATACGCAATATATGAACATTTATTGTTGCGTCTTCTCTCCTGACTATTATAACCCGCAAACACTACAGTTAGGCAGGCGAAAGTATTGACATAAACCCAAAAGGTAATCTTTAAGTAACTTATTATGAATATATTTATTGCTTTCAGAGTACAGTTGTTCGTCGTTTGGCGATACTTGCAAAATTTAAAAGGAAGATTAGTATTTGCATTCTAGAATGCAATTTCCACAATAAGTTGTTGAATAATGTATAAAATGTATTAAATCATACTTAAATGTTGAATAATGAAAACATTTTATAAAGTTATTGCGGTCACTTTTAAAACCTGGAAATTGTTTATGACATTTTAATTACTTGAAAAATGCAATACATAGTTTTTAAGCACTTTAAAATACATGTAAAACCGGGTCAAAACAATTATCAATTAAAATTTAATAACTTTTTTATTATATTCATTTTTATATTTTTTTCATTAGATAGATGTTTAAAAAAATACTAGAGAATATATAAATAAATTTAAAAAAAACTAAAAAAATTAAACTATTAAAATAAAAAAAGTTTATGGTTTTAGGCAACATTATGATAAAACCGCACACTCAAGAGCATTAGAATCACACATTAATTTTTTTAACTTTAAATTTTTTCTTTACCGTTTTTTTTTTCAACACATTTCAAATTTAAAAAACTATATTTATTTTTAACATTTTTGTAACAAAAAAAAAAAAAAAATCAGTTTCACACAAAAGAGTTCGAATACTAAATTTAATAATATTAAATTTATTAATAAAAAAAAATTTATTACAAGAAAAAACTTCAGTATTAAATTTAATGAATTTAAACTATATTAAAAAATTCCAAATTTTCATACAAAATCATCAATATTTGAAAACATTCAATTATCATTCTGTTTCGCTTTGCATACAAAGTGTTTAATGCGTCAGAGAAAAAGCGTTTACTTGGTGCACTGGTAGCAGGAGTACATAAAATCATTGTTGAAATACAATACAATATTGGAAACACATGATGATGCCAAAAGTATAAAAACATTTTGCTCATTTACTGACAATTTTATATAACCACTAATTTCTTTTTTTAAATCTAAACTTATTATTTGGTCACTATCATTTCCGGAATCATCATCTTCATCATCAAATGATAACTTAAATTTTTTTGATTTGATTGTCGCCTTTTTAACTGGAATTATATCACAAACTTTTTTTGTTAAATGAAATTCCGACAAAAATTCTCTAACACATTTAATTTTTTTTTTTCCTCTTACTTTTCAAAGAATTGAAAACTTTTATAATTTGGATCCAAAAAAGTGGAACATAATAAAAACAAATAATTGTAATAGTTTATCGGGCCGACACAAGTAGGTAACACGTAGAGAGCGCTGTTAAAATTTTAGCTGATAGATAAAGGAAAAAAAAATCCTTTTTTTTTAAATTTACGAAGTGAATGTTCTGACAATCTACATTTACCGACTTACTTATCTAAAAGAGTCAAATTGGCTTACTAAATGAGCTAAAAGTTCATTGATGGGATATCACACACAAAACAATCCCCCCCCCATCCCCTCCCCTTTGCGCCGGCCTTGGTAGCTTATTCAATTCTAAAGATATTTGTGTTTTACCATGTTTACTTTGGATTTTTTATGAAATATATTCTTGAAGTATCTTGTTAAACTTTTGGGACTGAAAATTGAAAGAAAATTATTTTGATATTTTTTTATTTTTGCGCTATTATGCAGTAAAATGATTATGCATTAGCAAACTTATTCAAAAATTTTAATAGAAACAATATCATAAACCCAAATTATTTATAATATATATTTATAAATTTCTTTAGTTGGACTAAAAAAAAAATCGGGTATATTTAGTTAACTAAAAAGTTAGTCAGGTAGTTTTAGTTTGCTAAAAAGTTAGTCAGGTAATTTTAGTTAACTAAAAGATTAGTCGGGTAATTTTAGTTAGCTAAAAAGTTAGTCTGGTAATTTTAGTTAACTTGAAAGTTAGTCGGGTAATTTTAGTTAACTAAAAAGTTAGTCAGGTAATTTTAGTAAACTAAAAGATTAGTCAGGTAATTTTAGTTAGCTAAAAAGTTAGCCGGGTAATTTTAGTTAACTAAAAAGTTAGTCGGGTAATTTTAGTTAACTAAATATACCCGACTAATTTAGTTGACTAACTTTAGTTTTTAGTTTTTTAGTTTAGTTAGTTACAACTTTTAGTTTTGATCACAACACTAATTTCTAGGTTTTTAAATGAACATGACTTTCACAAATTAAAAAAAAAAATCACCACCCAAATGATGTCTAAGAAAGTTGTCATTTAAGTATTTTCAATAAAGTTGTAAAAATTCAGAAATTGTTTGTTTACTTTGTTTTCACAAAGATTCTAAACCGTTACAACTTTGCAAAAAAGAAATTAAAATTATCAGCACTAACCCAAATCAATACAATAGTTCTATTCAAATTTAAAGTCAAAAAAATAATAATAACAAGACTCTATCACGAGCTGAAAATAGTATAAGACTTTGGTTTTGCTTTCAAAAAGGTTCAGATGCAGTACCAGCAAAAAGAAATTTGATACTTGCAAGAATTCAAAAACACTTTATTAAGAACAAAAACATAATCGTGATCACACTGATCCAAATGAAGAAAATTTACCTTCAAAAATTTGTACTAAATATAGACAAATTCTAATATATTATAGATAAATATAGATAAATTCTTAAATATTAAGATTAAAAAAAAAAAAAAAAACAACTAAAAATATAATGACATATCTAGTGCTATCTCTAAAATGTAAACTTTCAAAAAAATCAAGCAAAAATTTTTTGCCATCCATTTTATGTTTATGCAGGCCATCCTTTTTATGTTTAAAGAAACCTAAACTATTACTTATAATAAAAAGGTAAACTATTATTTATAACATATTTATAATAAAATACCCCTTAAAATTCAAAAAAAAAAAAAAAAAAAAAAAAAAAAAAACCTGTAAGGCTTAAGCAACTTTAGGAATCAGTAAAAAACTAACCCATGGTAACAAAAATTAAAATAGGACCAACAAAAAATTTTAACTAAATTAATTTTTGATAATCTTTGGGTTCAGCCTCCTCTATAATGCTCAAGTAACAATTTTCATTTCCTTTTTTTCAACTGGAATCTGAATTATAAATATTAACTTACTAGTTGATGAATAAGAATTCCAATATCCTGCACACATGTAAATGGAATGACCTGCACAACAGATCCTAACATCTTTAATTGAAGTCGTTTAAAGTATTGATCACTGATTTCTGTTGACTCTGCTAAGATTACCTTCTTATCAGCAAACTATTTGAATCAATAAATAAAAATATTAAATTGTAGTGTGTTGAAAACAAACAAATAACAGTTAGTAAATAATTATATAACACACACGCAGATTATATCTGCTGTGTGTTATATAATTATTTACTGCAAAAATTTTTATAAAATTTTTGCATATTCTAGTCATTTTACATTATAGGCTTAAGTGTTTAATTTAAGTCTTACGATGAATACTTTTTTAAATAATAATTGAACTGTGGAAACTTGATTTGAAATAAATTTAAATTTTTTGAGAACGACTATAAAATAAATGAAACTACGCAATATTTCATTGTTTTTATTTAAAATCAAAGCTTTATTGTCTGATTTCCTGGACTTCACATGAAAAATATTCAAACAAAAGATTATCCACCTTTATACTTCTATATACTGGTACGCTAGGGTTACCCCCTCCTCATTCCTGCATAGATGACCCCATGGGAACTAATTTCCAACCCTAAATATTGCTCTCAAACACTTGATGCTGACATGTTTCAGTTTTATGAGCTTGAAAATTTGCGCTGGGTGATTTTATTCACCAAATGCACTGCAATATTTTTATAGTTGTCTCTAACTTAATATCTCAGAAGCGACTCAACCAAAATGAAAATAAACACACTTATTTACAACATAAATCTTATTTAATAAACAATAATAATTAATTTGTTTATTTAGAATTTGCGGCGGATCTTAAAACAATTTTAAAAGCATCGAACTCATTAGTTCAAGTTTTAATTACACAAGTATTTTCTTAAATTTAAATCAGTCAAATTTGAATTATGTAACACAAAAACAATTTTAAAAGTATTGAACTCATTCATTTAAGTTTTAACCACAAAAGTCTTTTCTTATAATTACTTGCTCTTTCACTTGAAATTATATCAAAGCGATTTTTAAACTTTTTGAATTAGAAAAAAATGCTCAATGAAGAAGAGTAACAAAGGAAATTTTTAAATATGAAAACAAGAAGAAACGTGACACAAAGTAATATTTATAAAATTTATAGATTGTTTCAATAAAAAAGCAATCAAATGTATATTACAATAGAGTTTTAACTATGTATGTATGTATGTATGTATGCATGCATGTATGTGTAATGTGTGTGTATATATATATATATATATATATATATATATATATATATATATATATATATATATATATATATATATATAAACAATTTAAAATGTATTCTTCAAAAAGAGTGCTCAATGTTCTTAAAAGAACAGAGCAATTACAAATTAGTAGAAAATCACTTAGCAAAATTTTTTCTCATTTAACACTGTGTTTCATCAATAAAGACTCATCAGAAATGAATGATCAAATTAATAAAACTTCAATTTATACCAAAAATTAAATTACAGAAAGTCACATGTCTTAACTACTGCAATTTTTCACACATTTGTGTAATTTGCTGACACTATTGTAAAAAGAATTCTTTAGAAATGATTACTTAAGCTTTTTTAAAAAAAATTTTTTTTTCAAAGGGGAGTTAATGTAACTATTATTTGAGCTCACTTATTTTTATAGTTTTTTAGGAGAAACTTATTTTCGTGCCTGCATTTAGAAATCAATTCCGATTTTTTGTTTAATAAACATTCTTGGTTTGTATGAGTAATTATTTCAAATTTTTCTTGTAGATATAGTATGCATTTTTTGGAAATATTGTTATATGCAGGCGCTGTTTTAAGGATGGACCAATTCAGTGTAAAATCATCAATATTTTAATCTTTTAATTCCCATATATATTTTGACAGCATGGTGTCTTTTGAATACTTTTTATTTTTAAAAGATTGCTTATATTTGGCAAAATGTTTTTTCCATTCACCTTCTGTTATGCCAATATATTGTTTATCAGGTACATTCTTAGAGGAGACAACACATTTATATACCACATTTTTTGATAAGCAACTTCCACTCATTGGACAATTGTTTTTTTGTTTACAATTACAATTTTCTGTAGTTTTTTCATTTTGGATTTCTTTTTTGTTTAACAAAGCATTGTTGTGACTTTTTATAACTCTTTCCATATTTTTTGTGCAACTGTAGCTAACTTTAATAGTATTTCGATTAAAAATTTTATGTAATTTTTTAGAGAGCGGGAAATGCTTATCGATCAATTTAAAAAACACTTTTCCTATGTTTGTGGAAACATTTTTGCTATATGGGGGGTTGAACCAAATTACATTTCTAGTTCTATTTCGCTTTTTTGTATTCTTTTTTTCAGGGTCAAATTTTAATTCAAAGTTTTCAAAACCACTTTTTTTTAAAACATGTGATTTCCTGTAATTTAAATTTTGGTATAAATTGAAGTTCTGTTAATTTGATCATTCATTTCTGATGAGTCTTTATTGATGAAACACAGTGTTAAATGAGAAAAAATTTTGCTAAGTGATTTTCTACTAATTTTTATATATATATATATATATATATATATATATATATATATATATATATATATATATATATAATTTTTGTTAAAATAATTATTAGTTAAAAGCTTATATTATGCGTTAACAACATGTAAGATCTAAATTGAAACATGTCTATGGTTAACTTTTGCAAGTACATTAAATAAATTAATATAATTGTTAAATTAATACTTGAGTAACTGTAAGTTACTATCTTAACTTAACTGGTTGTTTTGATTTAGGTTATAAGTTAATTTACTGTGATATCCATTTATCATTTTTGATAAATGTTTTATATATGTTCATTTACTTGTTAATCACTATGTATATATGTATGTTTGTGTTCAGTCACCTGTAAGTTTCTGTATGTTTATTTGATTAATAATTTTACCAACTTTGATTATTATTTTTTAAATTTTATTGAAAATGCAGTTATTGTTGAAAGCCTTATTTTTATAAAATCAATCAACTATTTTTATAAAATCATTCTTTTTTCATTACTATTTTTTTAACTTTCTTCCTAGTTTAAGTTTAGCTAGCGTTACTTTTTTCAGCGCAATTCTAAAATATTTAAAAATCATCTAAACATCTAAACAGTCATGGTCAAGTTGTCAAAAAATAAAATCATTTACGTGGTCAGCTATCTGTGATATCTGTTCAAAATTTAAAAAAATAATCTCTTGAATTTATTTTTTCTAAATATAATTTTAATTAAACGCATTTTAATTACTCAATATAATATTTTTTATCTGTTCAAAATTTAAAAAAATAATCTCTTGAATTTATTTTTTCTAAATATAATTTTAATTAAACGCATTTTAATTACTCAATATAATATTTTTTCTGTTTTTCTTAAGTACAATTTATATAATACTTTTTACAGAATAAAAATAAGTTGTATAGCTCTTGAGATAATTAAGAAAAATTTTGAATAATCTTTAGCTAACGGTAGTTAGCTAGAGATTATTATTTTATTATATTATATTATATAAAATTATTTCATTATATTATATAAAAAATTTTAATATATATCATAATATTTTAAAAATACTTAAAATAAGATAAAACTCTTATTCTGAGTAAAAACATTTTTTAAGCAAGAAAAAAAATTCTTATTTTAACAATAAAATTTCTTGAAACATGAAAAAAAATCTTATTTGAAGAATAAATATTCTTGAAACAAGAAAAAATACATTGAACATTACTTAATGTCCTTATTGAATGTTAAATAATGCTAAATTTAAATTTTATAAATACATAGGATGCAGTGCATCCTTGATAATAAATGAATCTCTATCCATTTAGTAAAGTTAACTAAATATAACTTCAATAGTTTCAAGGTTAAAGCAAAAAATGTGAAAGCAAAAAAGTTGCTGGTTTATTTTAGCACAATTTTACTAATAGAAATTTTATTTAATAAAAACGAATTTATATATATTTTATTATACCTAAAGTAGTAAAAATAATTATATAAAATTGTTTATAAAATAATAAATTAAATCATTATTATTAAGTTAATTTGTAGCAACGTTTCTTTTAAATAAAGATAAATATGCTAAAAAAAGATAAAAATGTTTTGATAAAGAAATAGAATGAAGAAAAAATTATTTTCAACTTTTGTCTTTTTAATTTGCTTCTACACAGAGATTTAAAGTAGTTTAAATTAAAAAGTGCTTTATGTTGAATTAAAATCTCTGCGAAAGAGCAAATAATCATGCTTCTATTTAAAAGTAAATGATCATGCTTCTATTCAAAAGACAAACTTTGCGTGACGTACTTTACTATGAAAATATTACTTTTAAGAATTGCCAAAAAAAAAAGCTAAATTAGAAAAATAGTAAATCAACAAATAAAAAAGTAAACCAATCGCGAAAATATATGTTTTAAGAAAAAACTAATCGCAAAGGTGTAAAAAGCAATCGCGATACGCTTAATTCGATATATATATATGTTTACCGTATATTTATATATATATATATATATATATATATATATATATATGTTTACCGTATATTTTCATAAACTGTTTAACCGTAACACAACAAAAGTCAGCTACAGCTGCACAAGCAAAATAGCAAAAATTATAAAGAACCACAAAAATAAAAGCAATTTCTATGAACCCAATGGCCATTTTAGCTTACAATTGTAAACTATGCAAAACCTGCCCTATGAACAAAAATATCAGAAAAACAAATGTAATTAATAAGTGAATTTCATCATTCTCAAACACACTTGACATAACATATATTGGCTTAACATAGAGTGTAAAGAAAATTAGATAGGCAAACCATAAGCAATCATTCTAAAACAAAAAACTTACAAACACAATCACGCTTTCAAAATACATACAAGATACAAAGGATAAGTTAAAAGAAACACCCAATTTAACATAGCCCTATAACAACATAACTAAAAAATGCTTACTATGATTATACAAAAAACTAATAATTTTATTGTATAAAAATCCTAAAGAATTATTAAACAAAAAAAAAGCAAACTAATACCCAATTGTTGCCACAAAAACAAATTTTTGCTGGATAACCACAAACAAACCGCAAAAACACACACACGCCTGTATTTATGTGTGTGTGTGTGTGTGTGTTTATATATATATATATATATATATATATATATATATATATATATATATATATATATATATATATATATATATATATATATATATATATATATATATATATATATATATATATATATATATATATATACATATATATATATATATATACATACATGAATATAGGACTTTGAAATTCAAATATTTTTTATTACTAATGCATTTATTACCTTTGATAATTTTTGAACTTTGACTTGAAGTTCAGATTCTGCAACCAAATCTGCTTCATGTGCTATAATAACAGCACAACTGTTTGAAGGGTAGCAGTCAATTAGACCAAGTGTATCATCAAAAAGTAACTTTAAACCAAATCCTATAAATTTAAGAGAAATTAATTCTACCATTAATTACTTTGATGCATTCATTGTATAACAATAAATTATGGTTATATAATGGGTGGCAAGTTGAAAATGGGACAAAGTTTAAAAAAATGTTACTACCTGATTTTTCATATTTTTTAAAAAGCAAAAAAAATTTGATTATAGTATCACATTCTTTATTTGTAAAATATTTTATCAATCTTTAATTAAGCTATGTAATTGAGCAGAATCAAGAGCTGGAACCTGTTATGCAATATGTTGTTTCCTGATCATGATCACTTCTTTGAGGCATTTTTCTAACTTTTTGCACAGATGATCTAATTATTTTGCCTGCCAATTCTTTGCCAAGATATTGCCTTTCAGGGTGCTCCAGAAATTTTCTGTTGGGCACAATTCTGGGATATTTGAGGGATTGTCTTTTAGCACAAACTTCACCTTTTTGCTCTCCAGATAGGAAATGATGATTTTAAATGATGGATTTAGCATAAAGTGTTAATACTAGGTCAAGCCAAAAATATATAGGCATTATCTGAATGACACTTTACAATAAAAAAAATTTTATTTTTTTATTGTAAAGTGCTCTTTTGAATACACTTGCTCAAGTAGACCTGCTAGACCTGGGAAGAAAAAAGGCTTTGAAATGCCATGCTCTGAAAAGCAAAGTCAGACAAGCAGTTTCTTCTTGTATTTGGCTGTTGGATCATACTTGACACTTGCAGGATTTATTGAAACATCGCTGGTGTAGAAAGTATCGTTGCCATTGATGTGCAAGTGAGATAAAGTGAAATATGATTCACCGTCCAAAATACAACACTTTTTTTGCAACTTTTCACACAGCCAACAATATCTTTGTCGAATACTTGCTTTCCGATCCTCTGTTCCCTTCGGGATCCTAATTTTCTTTCTTGCATGGATAGAAGACTTGCAAAATGTGTCGTTATGGTAAGATATCACTTTTAGTTGCTTATGTTGGTTTTGGTCATTATTACTGGTTTTTTGCCACTATCCTTGGCCATTTAGTGGCCAGATTCATTTTCAGCTTAGTCAATAATCCGGTAGATAGTAATTTTCGGCATTTACTTAGCTACAAAGTGCTTAATGGTAAATGGTGATTTGTCATTAAGCACTTTGATCTATTGGCATGATAAAACTCGTACACACATTTTCTTCACGCCTTATATTCGCTGATGCATTTTGGCTTCATTTTTGAAAACTATTTTCAATTGTATGTATACATACAATTAACTACATACAATTCTAATACAAAATACAATTCTAATATAAAACATGTGGGACTTTTCTAAAAACTTACATACAATTCTAATATTAAAAATATGGGTAAATGATCAGTGCGAAATTTGCTACAAAATAGGTAGCTGACACCAGCAAAAATATTTGATACAGCATATTTTTTATCTGCTAAACTTTTTTCTCAACTTTTTCTCAAACTTTGTCTCATTTTTAACTTGCCATCCATTAATGTATACTATAATTATGGTTATACTATGATAATAAACACATTTTAAAAATAAAAAACACACTTTTCAGCTTCAAACTAATTTTTCTTAAATTTGGGTTATTTTAAGCCTTAAATGGTTCTTATTTTTTTTTAATTTGATTTATTCATGATATAACTATGGGAAACATTGCAGTGCTTGTATTTCTTGAATTAATATAGATTTCAGTTTGTTAGAGAACTTGAAAATTTAAAATGGGCCTCATATGTCCTAAATTATCATTTAAGATAACTTAGACCACATTTGATTTATGGGATGGCGTAAATTTAGGCCTTGTGTGGTGATGGTATTTATACAATTTAGGTGGCCAGATATAACTATAATACTTTTAACGCTATTATAAATACCATAATATAAATACTATTAGTATTATAGATGTCGTAACCATAATAGCATCCCAAAAATTGAAAGTAGCTATCACATGTGACATGCATTTAACTTTATTGTTGGGAAATTTTTTAAGCTTTAACTATTTTCTTAAAATTTCTGTGTTTCAGCTGTGAAATTAAAGCTGTAAAAATGAGATTAAATTATTTGAACTTGCACATGTTTTTTATTTAAATCCTAATTTATATACACATATACATAAAAAAGAATTTTAAGATTTTCATATGAGCTTATCACCTAGTTATGAGCTTTTATATTTTGAAAAAAATGACAATAATTTTAAGGTACATCGTTTTAACGCACCAAATGAGTTATAGTTCATAAGGGATTGTCTTAAGGAGACTTAAGCGCTTTTATGCTGTGATTTTCATCAAACTTAAACTGCTATTTTGATTTTTGATTTAACTTAATGCAAGGGAAAACTTTTATTGTTTTGTTTATTAGCAAAATTTAGCGTTGCATAATTTAATCTAATCAAATAATAAATTGTATAAAGCATTCATTGTGTCAAGTAAAAATTCTACTGCAACCAAAATATCAAGAGACATTTTAAAACTGAACACTACTGGCAAAGCAGTGTTCAGTTTTAAAAAGACATTCTTCAACAGTGGAGAGTCATAAAGGTCATCAAGTGATAAATTGTATGTTAGTACAAATGTCATGTAACAATCTAAATTGAAAAAATTCATCTTCAATTTAGACATGGCTGTTTCATATGTTGAACTTGCACTTGCATTATCACTGTTTTTAGACCACTGTTACTTTTATTGAATTTTGTTCTCCGTAAATTCTGGATTGACTGTTTTTTTTTTTGATCAAAACTGTTTTAAATTTTATAAAAAAATTGCTGCTGCAATTAATTCTGCATTCATGATGCACTAATTGAATCTATGGTAGCATCCATGTTTACCATATTAGCTTACAACAATCAATTAAGATGTTACAAAAAAGGAGCCGAATTTTCTTTATCAAAGTTATTGAAGCTTGCAGCAGGTATTCCATGTTTTGATCAAGCATTAAACATCCAATAAAATATTTAGTGCCTGAGCAAGAAGCTTCATAACAGAGACATACTCTGCAATAAATACTACGTTGAAATTGTGGCAAATCAAACTTTTTTTAAACCTATTTATCACATGGATCCGGTTATTAGCCTGTTCATGTGTTCCACAGAAAAGTACATTAAATTCCATCTTATATAATTAGAAAAAATAAGCTGCAGACAGAGGTTATTAGTAATAATTTATTAATAACTTATTATTTACAACAGAAAGTATTAATAATGATTTATTTATAACTTCTGTTAATGTGTATTACTTTGTGACTGTTTGATGACAAAATGCAGTTTTACATTTTGATTCATGGATGGAATCTAATGTCAAGTGGTACCAGTATTGGTTTTGTGATTATGCATGTATTATTTCAATAATTAAAACCAATAACTAATACTTTTGTTCTTTTTTTCTAAAATTAACTTAAATAAAAAAATTTAAAAAGTCAGCCTGAAAAGTAATGAAGTAAAATTGACACAGTAAAATGTTTTAAAAACAGATAAAAACAGGTTACATTATTAAAAATTTTTTTTTGATCAAATGTTTTTTTTTCAAAACCTTTGACATTAATGTCCTGCAAATGCCAAAATGCAATGGTTGTAAACAAACTTATTTCAAATTACGACAGATGGTAACTAAACTTCGTTTTCTAAATGATATTAGAGCTTGAATATGAGACTTATACCTTGGCTTGAACTTTAAGTCAAGTCACTAGTTATTGGTATCAAAGTTAAAATCAAGTTACAAGTCTTATTTTATTATTTTAAAATATGTCAATTACAATTAATAATAAAGATTCAAAACTTGTATACAAATGACAATATATTATTACACTAACAAACATCTTACCAGTAAGCGATTTGCTTACTAGTGAATTGTAATATTTGGAATTAAGAACAACATGGCCATTTGGTATTTTTGATCCTCTTAAAGATGGTTGAGTTGGAGTGATAACATTATTGTTATGCATTAAGAACAATTTTAAAGAAATATCGCATTTTAATGTTCACTAAAAATTATCACGTTTGAGTATGTATATAGGGATGTCTCAAGTCAAAAAAGAATATTTATAAGGTACATTTACATGACGACAAACATTAAATATTATAAGGTAAGACAGCCGTAGGGGTCGTCCGCAAATTACGTCATATTTTAGGGGGAAGGGACTCTGCTGACATGATTTATTACTATAATTTTAAGAAACTCTTAAATAACAACTTAAATTTATAAATATATTATGCATTGGAAACGTTAAAAGTGCACGAGTTTTTTAACGTTTTTTTGTTGAAAAATAAAACGAAAAAGTAATAAAAAAACGATAATGTAACGATTGTTGCACAACAATTTTTTTGGAAAACTTTTGGACATTTATGTTTTCATTTCAGTGTGTGGGGTACCCAAACACTCCTATTGGAGGAGGGGCAGCGAATATAAGAGTTTTGCAAGTTTACGAGCCTTTTTACCAATTTAAAGTGCTTTTCCTTTTTTTTAGTAATACCAATTTTTTAAATATAATTTTTTAAATATTATAATTATAAATATAATTTTATAATTTTATAAACGTAATATTATTTTATTATTGTTATTATTATAATTATATAAATATAATATTATTAATAATACATATAAAAAAATTTTATAAATGTAGTTTTAATATAATTTTTTAAATATTAAAATTTTTTAAATATTATATTTTTATATTCTATTTGGATAATCATTTACAATTGCACCACTATAGTTCCCTTGGACATTATTTCAATAGGAAGGAATTCTAGTAGGAATACATGTAAAATCCGAAGCGCAAAACTTACAAGGTATTATTAGAACAGAAACAACGAACCAATGTCACTGTGCATGATTTGCACAAATATTACGTTTGTTAGATTAGTCGATCTTTTTTTTTTTTTTTTTTGAGATTTTTGATTTTATGTAAGATTTCATGGTTTATAAGATTTTTTTTTTTTTTTTTTACTATAAGTATACTTGAAATAAAATTATTTTCACTAATTTATGGATTTACTGTATAAATCTATTGTACTATTGTGTATATAGTGAATTAACAACTAATACTTAAATAACTAGTAGTCACGACAATAAACGTGTTAGGTATCACGTAATTTATGTATACGTTTTAATGACTGTAATTATAATTACAGTGATTAAAATGTATACATAAAAATTACGTGATATATACTCTCTAATATATTAGAGAGTATATAACATTTTATTTATAATATTTTGTGAACATTTTACTAATGATTGTAATAATATCAAGTGAGTTAAACTGTTTATATATATTTATGTGATAAATCAGATGAACTCAAAATCTCAAATATTATAAAGTTATATAGTTAAAACAATATATACACAGTATGCTGTGGCAAGTAGGTTGGAGGCCTCCATAAAACCTGCCATTAGGACCCCAAAATCTTAATAATTTTTCCACTAAAAATACTCCTAAAAATTCGGAAAGGGTTCTAAATTTCCAAAAAAGCTCCTTAAAATTTTTAGTCACCACCCCTCCCCCCCCCCTATTGGGTCCTGGGGGAGCCTAGCCACAGTTCTGTATACACAACATACTAATTTTAAAAAATGTTTTAAAATATTTTTAGAATTTTACAACATAAAATTTGAAAATAAGGTTAAATTATATAGTTCATGTACATTTATATATATATATATATATATATATATATATATATATATATATATATATATATATATATATATATATATATATATATATATATATATATATATATATAAATATGAAATATAAATATATATATATATATATATATACATATATATATACATGTATATATATATATATATATATATATATATATATATATATATATATATATATATATATATATATATATATACATATATATATATATATATATATATATATATATATATATATATATATATATATATATATGAAATATATATATATATATATATATATATATGATATATAAATATATATATATATGTATATATATATATATATATATATATATATATATATATATATATATATATATATATATATATGTATATATATATATGTAATATATATATATATGTATATATATATATATATATATATATATAAATATATATATATATATATATATATATATATATATATATATATATATATATATATATATATATATATATATATATATATGTATATATATATATATATATATATATATATATATATATATATATATATATATATAAATATATATATAATATAATTTTATTATTATAAAATTATATTATATATATATATATATATATATATTAGGCCGGATCATAAAAATTATTTTTTTTTAGAATTTGTGAAAAGTGGCGTGATATAGTGTTGTTTAATATTTACAAAAAAAATATTTTTAAAGAATTGATTATACTTTTCATTTTTAAGTTTTAAGGTTTTATATGCTAAGTATATTTACTTTAGTACATGCATTAACTGAAACATGCATTTAACCCTAATACTAGATATAATCCCAAGGTTATGAAATTAAACCAAACCTATACTTACCTAACTAAATTAACCCTAATGATATGATTAACTCCAACGATATTATTACTTTATATTATTATATTATTATTATTATTATATTATTCTATTTTTATATGATTGTTTATTAATTTCTGCTTTTATCAACTGATTGCAGAATTTATCCGTCTCATCTTGTATTTTTAGAAATTAACTGAAATTCTGATATGTTATAAAATTGTAAAACAATAACGATTTCAAGATCTAAAGCTTCAAAGAATCGTCATATACTTTTTGGAGAAGGTCGTGAATTACCCAATTTTTGCTTGCGAACCCACAAGCAAGTAGGCAAAGCATACTTGTCTGAGAAGAATTATGAAACTGAACCACTACGGTCTGTTTGTAAAAGAGTAGCAGAGAAACTTTCTCAGATATGGATTAAAGCATCAGTTCCTACTATAAGTCTTCGAGGCATAGAATTACAGCTGGAGAAGTACATAGGCGATGTTCAGAAAGTGATTCGATCAAAGTCTGCAACTGTCAAACAAGATGAAATAGAAAAAGATCTTGACACATTGTTTGACATTTGTTCGTGTAAATGCAAAGAACTTTCGTCTTGTTGCTGTCCAATGGTTCTGAAGGTGCCAGCAATTGAGCATGACTTCCTAACTGATCAACGCACTATACGTGTTGGCAGAATAGCTGGAATCGACAAGAAGGAATCTGCACGTGCTGAGAGGCGTTTAAAACGAAAATCTGTTTCATTATCAAAGGAAGAGACTGCAGTTAAGTGTGCCAGAGTCGTTGAAGCATCTGATAATGAATCAGATAATGAAACAGACAACAATTCTGACACCGAAAACTTATTCCCCTTCCGTATCAGATGTCGATACCGAAGTCACATCTACTCGTCTGAAAAACCGTTGTTTAAAAAATATTGCTCTAGAAGCAGATGGTTTCTGGCATATCAGATAGAGCAGTTGCCTATTTAATTAATTAATTTGAAAAATTCAAAGGTAAAAATGCAAAGTATAGCAAAGTAGTAGCGAAAAACGGTTTGCAGCATTGCATTCAGCGTATTTGAGAGCCAATTACTGGAAATTCCCGAAGAAATTTTCCAAATTTTTTTAAGTTATGATCCGGCCTAATATATATATATTGCGGGAATTTCGGTGATTTTCCTTTAAACAATCGTTTACCTATATATATATATATATATATATATATATATATATATATATATATATATATATATATATATATATATATATATATATAATATATATATATATATATATATATATATATATATATATATGTATGTATTATATGTTATATAATTTAATATATATTGTAATTGCGTATATATAAGTATATTATGGAATACTAACTTTAGCTTTAATTTTTAGAACGTTGAAGTCTCAAGTTCTTAAATAGTATTTTTAAGTGAATACTTTGCTCTGTGCTGGAATTGTTTTAACTGATGCAAAAACATTTAAACAACAGAATATTACTCAAGGAAATAGAAGAAAAAGAGCTATTACAACCAGCGTATAATATTTTTGTTTAAATTTAATTATTAAATGGAGAATGATATTACTTTAAGTAAAAAAAACTTTTTTTTCGAAAATTTATTTACTTAAGCACTTTGTAAAAGTTCTACATCTTTTGATCGATAATCACGTCCAAATTAAAGACGTTTTTTAAATTTAATTTTAAACAATTTAAAGCAAACCGACTTAGCAAAACCTTATAGAAGTTCTAAACGAGACATTATTTAAGTCTCAAATTCAATATAAATAAAAAAAAAATCTCAAGAAATGTTTTTAACGTACAAGCAAAAAAAGTTGTATGAAACAAAAATAAATTTACATTTATTTCATTTCATTTAAACCCTAAGTTGTAGATTATCAAAGATGAGACTTTTTAAAAAAATTTTTAAGATACGCCACCGGTGGTGTACTTTAGAGAAATGTATGGTGTACTTTAGAGAAATGTATGGTGTACTTTAGAGAAATGTATGGTGTACTTTAGAGAAATGTATGGTGTACTTTAGAGAAATGTATGGTGTACTTTAGAGTAATGTATGGTGTACTTTAGAGAAATGTATGGTGTACTTTAGAGAAATGTATGGTGTACTTTAGAGAAATGTATGGTGTACTTTAGAGAAATGTATGGTGTACTTTAGAGAAATGTATGGTGTACTTTAGAGTAATGTATGGTGTACTTTAGAAAAAATGTATGGTGTACTTTAGAGAAATGTATGGTGTACTTTGGAGATATTATTGTTTTAAGTACTTAACATGATTGAAATTTGGTATATTGTTTACGTAGAGAATAATTCGATTTTACCTAAGCCTATTTTCAAAATCCAATTCTTCATTTTATTGCTATAATATTCCCTAAATTGGCCAAATAGTAAAGTAACGTTTTACTATTTTAAATAGTAAAATGTTGCTATATTTTTTACTAAAACGTTACTTAACTGTTTAAAAGTTACAGATGTTTAATTAAACTTTTTAAAAATGGCCAAAGTAACCCCGCTGGCCAAAGTAACCCCGTGTTACGGTAGCATTAAAGACAACGTTAACACGCCAGAATTCGGTTTCGTCAACATTCCATATTTAAAAGCTATAATACTTTTATTTTTTCAAGACTAGAAGCTGCTTTATAGTTTTTAAACTTTTACATTTTTCTTTTTAAAGCAGTCGAGCGAGCCAGGCTTGCTGCCTCATATTTTTTTAGCAACGATTTTTCTTACAAATTTCAGGCAATAGATTTTAGTAATTTAGTTTTTTATCCCAAGATCTGTTACACATTTTGTAGTTTTTACTTTTACAAATTGTTAGACCGATTTTCGAACATTAATTTTTGTTTTTCAATTTTTGTAAGTCAAACAATACTGAAGATCAGCAGCACTCGAAGTAGAGACTAGAAGTTTATCTTCTTCTACCTTGTAGATTTGCCTCAAACCATTGTTTTTCTTAAAACAATATTTTTCTAAACCTGATTCAAACTCTTTCTAATTCTTCTTTTTATATAAACTCTCTCTTAAATCCAGATTAACTTCTAGGCATTTTAGTAACTTTTCTATTCATTTTATTTCTCATTTAAAAAAACTAAAAAACCCTAATAAAGATCAAGACAAATAATTATTTATAAAATGTAATGCCAACATAATTTTTAAAACATAATTTTTAAAACTCAAAGCTCCTTTCAGTATTTACTTATTTTTTAATTCTAAGCTCAAATAATTTTACTTTCGACTTTTATTGAGATAGATATATATAGATTTAAAATCCCTACAACTATATTTAGATCTTTTTATCAAAGGAATGCATACAACATATATGAAGAAATACGTTACAAACAAATAATACTTCTTGATAAACAATAACATTAAAAGACATTAAAGAATTTAAAACAAATTTTACTCTAAATATTCAAATATTTAAGCAAGGTACTATGGAGATAGCGAATGTTGTGTACCTTAGTATACTAAAGTATACAACAATCGCTACATCCAAGGTACACTACTAGCAAATGTTTTACAAAATGGCTACTACTCAAGAGTTAAGAGTAAATTAGTTTCAAGCATGTGCAAATGTAGCTGAATACAAACTGTGATTATGAATTTAAGTATAAAGGTGGTAAAATTTTTTGATGTTTTTTAAGTTAATTTACCGTATGTATATATCAAAACCTTTTAATTGTTTTCTTGGGAATTGTTGGGAATTGTATTCAGCTACATTTGTAAGCATTAAACTTGATTTTTACACTTACTAATGACAGATATTCTTTTTTATTTTTCAGCTTCCAAAAAACTTACCGAGTCACTCTACATTGACTAGACAACGAATTTAAAAAGGTTATTTTGACACAAACAGATGGAATAGCAATACAGTTTATCCAAGTTAAAATTGTCCCATGGTACAATACTTTTTCTTAAAATTATTTAAAACTGGTTTTAAATAATATAATAGTTTATCTAACGCATTCTTGTAAAGATTTAATGCTTGATGCTAAATGAATTAATGTTTGATGTTGTTAAAGATGTTTATAAATCTTCAAATATTGTTGAAATCGCAGTATCAGTTGATGGTAAATGGCAACATTGTGGTTTTTTTTTTGTTAAACTGCGTTGTTACAATGATTTAAATGACCTTAACTAATGATGTCAATGACCAAAGGTAATGTCAAGGATATCAATGACGTCAAAGATAAAATTCCTGATTGCGAACCTCAAATTCAATTAGTCAATTAAAAAAAATGTCGAAAATTATAATTAAAAGAATAATCTGATTGTAGGCATGGCACAGCAAGTAGCGTTCTAAGTCAGAGCTAAATGGTTTGAGGTTCGATTGCGGTTCTGACCAAATGTAAAATATTTGTAAGGAAGGAGTAAACTTTCTGCTTAAATGTTCTTACATGGTGCTTTCTGATAAGAACTTAGTTCTCTTAGACTACCTATGTACTACACCATCACAGCTGTAGAAATTTACTGCCCTTTAAAATTACTTAGCCAACAATTTATTCTTTGGTATATACCTTTGCTCAAAACCTTTGTTTTATCTCATCCTTGTAAATTCTTTTAGCCTAGTAACAGTTTATGAGAGTATTTATGCATGAGAAACATAATAGCACAATTTTTTCCATTTAAGACTACCCAACATTTATTAACAAATGTTTTTAAGCATTTCACTTTGCTACTTCTTCTTATTAGGGTGTTATAAGGTGGACATGTACAGATTAAAAAACTTAAAAAAACCTTGAATTAAATCTATGTATTATAATTGCGTAAATATATTTTAAAATTTAAGCCTGTTTTTTAAATTTATTCATAATAATTAAAACTGTCAATAATCATGTGTTTAATACATTTTATTGTCCTTAAACTAATAAAAAATACGCTAATTTTAAACCATAAAATTACAGTCGATTATGCTAAAAACAACTTTATTTTTATCTTGATAATTAAGAAGACGGAGTCTAAAAGGAAAATATAGGGATTTCAAATAGGATTGCCCAATGAAAATCCATAACAATCCCATACGCGACCTAGTTAGTTAACAAAGACAAAATCATAGTAAAAATGGCTATTCGTTGCTTAGAGTTCTTGTTCTGCACTGGCTAGCCGCTGTTTTGCCATCGCTGGCTAGACACGGCTGGTCCATGAAAAATCCTTAGAGCAAAACGGAACTTCGCCAGCATAGTCTGCCGAAGCCGGTCAAGCATGGCAGCCTATTCAGGACCAGTGCGGGACCACTATATCTTTGCTGTCTGGGTATATTATCAAATTTTAGTTGGTCCAACTTACCCAGTAAGCACAAAACGTTTTTAAAACGTTTAAAAAACCTATGAAAACGTTTTTTAACGTTTTTAAAACGTTTTAAAAACGATCTGTGCTTACTGGGTAGCTTTCCGCAAAATGTGCGAAAGCCAGAAAAGTGATTTCATTAATCATTAAATCCGCAAAATGTGCGAAAGCCAGAAAAGTGATTTCACTAATCATTAAAAAAATTTTAGGAATATTTATTTAACAAGGAAATTTTCTTTTTAAATAATATAAAAAATATAAAAGATCCATTTTAAGATGGATCTTTTATATTTTTTTAAATTGAAAATTACACATAGAAAAAAGTTACTATTATTTTAAAGATTGAATTTTTATACTTTTTATGGGGAAATTTTATTTTTGATAAATTCATGACGTCACGCTCGATTTTATATTAAGTGAAACAGCCGCGTATATAGCTCTCATGGTTGTCGAGCAGAACGGATGGATGGGTTTGAATGAATGGATAAATTTTCTTTTCTTGAGCTAGTATGCTTTACAAAATGTTTTATAAAATCTAGTTTCAATTGGAACTAGAATTTATGAAACATTTTGACACTATTCATTTTTCAAACTCATTGGGATAATCGAATAAAACTTAAGTTTTCATTCGATTATCCCAATGAGTTTGCTCCACCAAGTATATTTTTTAGTGCTCCTTTTAACAAAAATTCTTAATTTTTTGTCAAATGAAAATCAACATTTGAGACAATCAACAATTTGATGAAAATCAACATTTACCACCTCCTTTATTTATTGCACCAAAAATTGTTATAGCATACCCTCGTTTACCGCTAATTATGCTACCAACCTGCTTTTGACCTTTCTTTACTAAGGTTTTGGTACTATTATGGACATTGCTAACACTGGTTTGTCAATATTCAATATGTTAAAAGCTCTAATAATTTGGTTTTGTTTAAGCCCAAGCTGCTTTATAGTTCTTAAAGGTAAATGTTTTACCTTTTACATTTCTCTTATTAAAATCAGTTGAGCAGGCTTGCTGCCTCAGATTTTTTTAGCAAAAATTCTTTTAACGGTTTTCAGCCAATCATTTAGTTTTTTTATCCTAATATTTATCATACATTTTTATGTTTTGCTTTTCGTAATTGGTTGGCCAATATTTTTACATCAGTTTTTGTAAGTTTGCCTATACTGAAGATCAGCAGCCCTCGAAAAGTTTATCTTCATCTACCGTGAAGATTTGCTTCACATCATTGTTTTTCTTGTAACAATATTTTTCTAAACCTGATTCAAAGAGTTGATTTTTATGTCTTTTAAAGGTTGTTTCAAACGGAATCTATAAAGCTTCCTTGGAAGCTTTATAGATTCCATTCATTATTTATTCTTTTTATGCCTCCTTTTTACATTGGCCTTTTCTTAAATCTAGTCTAACTTCTTGTCATTTTTATAACTTTTAATTTATTTTATTTCTCTGAAAATAGATTAAAAAAAAAATTAAAAATTTTAATAAAGATCAGACCAAATTACTATTCATAAAATGCAAAGCTAACATAGTTTTAAAGTATAATCTCAAAGCTCCTTTCAGTTTTTACTTATTTTTTAATTCTACACTCAAATAATTTTGCTTATGACTTTTATTTAGGTTTAGGGTTTTTTCTTTCCCAGCCTCCAATCATTGCAATTTTTTGTCAAGCCTCATTATTCTTTGACATAAGTATAAACATACAAATGTTTGGAGTTTGCTCCATGTCTGGAAGTTATCTCAAACACCAAAAAATCACGGCTTATTTTACAGCAGAATGGATTAAAAATAGCTCTAAATTAAAAAAATTTATAAAAAGATATTGGACGCGGTCAGTTTGTTCTAATTATAAAATAATGTATTTTGTCTGAGACACTTTGTCCAAGGATATAGAAATAACGACGCATGTTTGCTTCTAAATGTTTTCAAATGTTGTTTGATTCAAAATTTAATAGCAAATTAACAAAATAAAGCGTGCGAAAATGTCGAATGTTCGAATTTCATTAATAAATTGTCGAACTTTGTGGAATAAATCTTGGGCATATTCAAAAATAAATCAAAAGAATATATCAACTGTATATATAAGAAAAATTTCTACCTCGATGCGAGTATTTGGAGAAATAAAGGACGAAAAAATAAATAAAAACAAATCAACAAATGTTAACAATATAAATATTGAGGATGAGGAAAAGCCTTCAAAATTAAAACAAAGTGGTAAGTTAGCTAAAATATTTGCAGAATATGGAACAACAGCTGTAGTTTTTCATACAGCAATTTCATTGACATCACTTGGGTTATCATATACAGCAGTTAGTAGGTATGCTAAATATATTTAGGTTTATCCAAGTCATTTTAAAATGTTATGCATATCTTATTATATTTGAAACTATTGTATTACAAAATTTACTTAATATATAACTTATTATATAGGAAGGTATTATAAATTAAATTTGTATTCTCTTTGAGAATATCATGTAAATAAAACATTAAGTAAATACATTAATATTTTTATAACAGTTTAGCAACTGTAATAGTTGCTATAATCATTGCTATTTCAATTTTAGTGGGATAGATGTTGTTGCCTTACTTCAGAAGCTTAACTTAATAACAGACGTTACTCCAGAATCAAAAATTGCAACTGGTGCAAGCACATTTGTAATTGCATATGCTTGTCA